TATTTTGCAGAAATGTGCTTTTTAAAAGCACTTTTGAGGGTTATCAAACACCCATGGTATATGAAGAAAATATTTGAAAATGATTCCTAGTAGATCAAATAAAAACCCCCTAAATCCAATGAGACAACTAAAAACCCCGTATATTAATCAAGTGAGATTGAACAAGTACAGACATTAAGGAAAGAATTATGAAGTTAAAATTAACAATACGTAAGATTTTTTTTAAAATTATGGTTAAAGAACATGAATAATTATATTGTAAAAATTAACAATTAAAAAATCGGGAAAATGATTAGAAAAAAGAGCTTAAAATTGTGAAATGTCAAAATGAGAAACTAAGTTGGTGATGATGGAAAGAGAAAGAAAACTTAAATGGCTATTTTGAAATTGAAGGAAAATAATAGAAATGCCCTTTTATTAATTTCTATTCTAAAATTGATAAAATGAATTGAAAATTTGTTATTCAGAACTTGATTATTTCTTCAAGAAATAACTTTTTCTCACTTTTTTAAGTATATTTGGGTTGAGATTGCGGCTTCTTAATTTTTGTTCCAGGGTTGTTAATGGCTAGCAAAGTGTAGTCAACACCTTTACAGAAATTGTGAATGGTATTAAAGAGTGGCCTTGTTACTTGATGAATAGAAGTTGTTAATAATTTATGAAAGGGTTAAAGTGTAATTTTAACAACAAAGTTTACCTTAAAGGACACTAAGTATCATAATGTTTACTCAGGTGTAAAAATATATTTGAAGTTGTTAAAAAGAGGCATTTAGCACCAAGCTGTTAACATCTATTAGTTTATCATCAGAGGAGCCCACGAAGTCAGTTTTGAGTTGCATTTTTAACAATAAAGTTTACATCAAAGGGCATTATCATGAAATTTACTCAAATGCAAACTATACATGAACTTTTTAAAAGGAAAAAAATAATAAAATTCTTCAAATCTCATAAATGTCCATTAATTTTATTCATTTGGATCCCACCAAATGCTATATTTTCTGTCTATTAATTTTCATTTCTAAGTCGATCCATCTTTCTCTCATCATAGTTAACATGCATACTCTCTTTGTCATATCATTTTCTTAGCCTCCAAGCCTTTTATATCTATTTACGCAAAACAATGACTTTCCCTTCTAGGATGTGAGGTTCATTACTTGCACCCAAGTACTACTTCCAATCCTTAATATAGGACATAATAAACTAATTTGAGAAGATTAAGAAAATTAAATAAATTACTTTAAAGTATTATATTTATCGTTTTTTTTCAAATTAATTTGTTTGGTTTATAAACTAATATATAATCAAATAATTCATATAAATATTTTAGAGAGATCATGTACTATATGCTGTATTTAAGTAATTGTTTTACTTCTGTAATTTTTTTCCCAAATTTGTCTATTATATTAAGGAGAAGAAGGAGTAGGAATGAGTAGAGAGAAAAAGTGATATTTAATAGGACTTAAAAAAATAAAATTAATGGATGTTTATGGGAGTTGGAGAATTTTGTTATCTTTTTCTCTTTGAGAAAGGTCATATGTATTTTTACACTTAAGTAAACTTTATGGTGCCTAATATCCCTTGATGTAAATTTTCTTGTTAAAAATATGCCTTAAAACTAACTTCATAGGCCCCTTTAACGGTAAACTAATGGATGCTAATGGCGTGGTGCCAGATGCCCTCTTTTGATAACTTCATGTATATTTTTGCACCTAAATAAAATTTATGGTGTCCAGTGTCCGTTAAGGTAACTTTTATTATTAAAATTGCACCTTAAACCTTTATGAAATGTAGTCAATACCCATACAAAGTTATGAATGACTTGCAAGAGAAACCTTACTATTTGTTAATAGCCCATGAAATAGAGTCAATACTTATACAAAAATTGTGAATAACATAATGGAGTGGCCTTGTTACTTGCTAAATAAAACTTGTTAATAACTTATGAAACGTAGTCCATACCTATATAAAAATTGCGAATAATAGGTATTGGGTGGCTTTAATTTGTTACTGTAACGGGTAATTTTTCAGGGAGAACCATATTTGAGGAACACTAAAATATAGTATTAACGTAAGCCCTACAAATGAGCTGATTATATTGCACTTTCTAAGGACTTTTAACGTTGAATTTTCTTACCAAATTACCGTACTGACACCTTGAAAATTAATTAATTGTTACTGATAAACTTATACTTGTCATTGTTATAATCAAAATATTACTTGTTATATTAAATTTGTCCTTGAGCTCCAAAGTCACTATTAATCCTTTAAACCCAGAAATTGGTTCTCTAAAAAGTAGTAATCACGGTTGAATTTTTAGTTTTGATTAGTAACAAGTAGACTTGTAAATGTTTATACAGAACTTGTAATCGATTTTTAGGAAACCGCCAACCTTTAAACTTATAGTTTATATTAATTTTGAATCAAGTTCTATAGTTTATTTCTTTTAAATTGAGCCCTTATTATATTTTAATCCATTAAATCCATCCATCCTTCAAGATATAAACTGACGTAACACCGTTAATTTTAATGTGTTGGAGGCTAACTAAGTTGATACGTAAACATAACAATGTAACTTGAGCGCTAGGTGAGTTAATTCCCAATGTTTAGAATCTCCATCATTTATAGTGGGGTATTTGGAAAAGGCCAAAAGCACTTAAAAAGGTGTTTTCATGCAAATCGAGACAAAATTTATCTTACATACTTATCTCGAATACTATAAAATTATTTTCAAAAAACTAATCCAACTACCCTGTTCATTTCCGTGTGTTCTTGAGCACAACGGCTAATAAAAGGAAGAAAAATTACTCTCAAACTGTAGCAAGATAAATCTCTCTAACTAGGGCTGTGTTTGGGTGACATCCCAAACCATGGTTTGGGGAATAAATTACCCGAACGCCTACTCAAAAACCAAAACCATGGTTTTGGAAAAAGCAAAATTTTTTTGCTTTTGGATAAAAAAGGGAGAGTGTAAGAGTCTATAGGATATGTATCTTGTTATTTTTTTTATAAACATATTTTTTTATAAACATATTTTATCTTATATTTTATAAATATATATACATATTAATTATTTATTAATTATATTATCTTATGTATTATTAATTATGTTAATAAAAAATATATTATTAACAATTTTATTCCTTCAAATTAAAATATATCATAAAATCTATTTTTTCTGTAATTATCATATTAACTTATGTCTTTTTTTAGTAATTTGTATATATAAAAAGTGCTTCTGATAACAACTATCCAAACACTCTCACTTCTCAAAATTACTTTTTCATAAAATCTATTCTTTCCAGAATCTATTCTCCAGAATCACTTTTCCAAACTACGGTTTGGTTTCATCCAAACACACCCTAAGAGTGAGTGAAACTACTTATTATATGAACCAACAGTTCGTTAGTTTGAATAGAGATTTCCAGACAAAAGAGTGAAAGCAGACATTTAGGGGGTATTTGGGTGATAACCCAAACTATGGTTTGGGAAAAAATCACCCAAACACCCTTAAAAAAACCAAAACAATGGTTTTGGGAAAAACAAAATTTTTTTGCTTTTAGAAAAAAAAAAGGAGAGTGTGAGAGCTTATAGGATATGTATCTTGTTTTTTTTTTTATAAACATATTTTTTTATAAATATATTTAATATTATATCTTATAAATATATATATATTAATTATTTATTAATTATATTATCTTATGTATTATTAATTATGTTAATAAAAAATATATTATTAACAATTTTATTCCTTCAAATTAAAATATATCATAAAATATATTTTTTCTGTAATTATCATATTAACTTATGCCTTTTTTAGTAATTTGAACATGTAAAAAGTGCTTCTGGTAACAACTATCCAAGCACTCTCACTTCTCAGAATCACTTTTTCACAAAATCTATTCTTAAAAAAATCTATTCTTCCCCGAAGCTATTCTCCAAATCATGATTTGGTTATATCCAAACACCTCTTAGATCACCAATACCCAATCTTTGTTTCGTGGACATGCCTCCCTTCTTATCATCTCAACCATGCTCGATTCGAATGTCGACAACGAACAAGAAAGCTAGAGCAGAAGGGATGGGATTTAGATCCAAAAACACAAGAAATGACCATGATTATTTAGTATCTAATACATTAACCAAAATGAAAATGCATACTTTTAATTTTGTAAACTTTTTTATCGCCAAAAGCGATATGAATATTAAAGACTCTAAATATTGGAAGTTAATTTGCCCGGCGGCCAAATCACAATGTTATGTCTTTGTGTCCAACTCACTAAAATTAACGACGGTGTGTTTAGATCCTGACAAGTGGATGTATTTAACATATAGGGTCTAGTTAACAAGAGTTAATCTAATTGGTAAGGAGTTAACTCATTACTTATTAAATTGTGGTTCGAATTCCACTGTCATATAAGAATCTTACTGGTGGACAATTTGTAAAGACCTTTATAAGTGCTTCTTGAATATAGATGTGTGTTCTCACTGACCTAACTTATCTAGACTTTTGTTCACAAAAAAAAATATGTGGACCCAATTCAAAAAAAATAAATTATAGAGACTTGATTCAAAATTAATGCATTTACCCAAAAAAATTGATGTAAATTATAACATGCAAAGTAATTTCCCCTTGTAGTTTTGAACAAAAACTTGTTTTCAAAACAAAAATCAAACAAGCCAAAAGAATTTGATGTACTTATTCAATTTTAAATATAAAACCTATTTTATAGTATAATTTATACTATAAAATAGGTTTTATATTTTGAACTAGAGGAGTAATAATTATTGTTTGCGTTGCCGGCCTCTTTCCTTTTCCAGAAACAGAAGACATGAGATACTTAGCCCAAATAAATTCCAATTAAACGTAGAGGCCCAAACCATGAAGGACAATGGGCTACTCCATAACATTTCCGATGGGTCATTTTAACGCCGGATCATTACCCGTTCGTATATCTAACATTTTTAAAACCCTAACTCGCTCCGCGTTCCCAGGTTCAGATCACCGAGCTGCTGTTCAAGCAGGTTTGAAACTCGTCAATCCTTTCCCTGAATTTTTCACGTTGATTTTTTTTTTGTTTGCCTAATTATGGTTCCTATTACTGCCTCTTTCATCGATGATTCTATCTATCTGTCTGTATGGGGTTTCATGACATGGGATAACTGGGGAATATGCAACCTGGGAAATGAAAATTGCTCTGAAATGGTTAGAACCTATATGGGATGTTGAAACGGAACTTGTTTGTAGTTGTGGTTGTTCTACCGATGTTGTTTTTAACTTTCACTGCAATGATGAACTAGACAAGTGGTCGATGCGATTTGGAGCAATTGAGTTCAGGTTCACTTCCTAGCATTGCTTTGGCCTTCTAACTGTTTTTTTCGTTTTCTTTTGTGTTGAGTCCAAGTTCCTTAAAACATCAGTTTACTTTAGGTTGAATTTTATGCCGTCCATGCATCAATATAGTCTCAGGATGTCTGCATTGAGATAGCCGCTTGCATTTTATGTTTCTTTTCCATATTTATTTACGTTGAACATATTGAGTGATGTTGATAATTTGTGGTCTCTTTCCCAGATCTGTGTGAGAAAAGATGGCGGTTCCGTTGATAAGCAAGAAAATTGTGAAGAAGCGTGTCAAAAAGTTCAAGAGGCCCCAGAGTGACAGGAAAATTTCTGTTAAGGTATGTGTTATCACATGAGTACTTAGTTTACTTAGAATTGATCTTCATGTGTACTGTACTTCGTTTATCATCTAGTGACAACCGTGGGTGTGAACGGTCTGAAATTGTTGGAAATGGGACTATGAAAAATATTTCAGAGTATATTATATATTTCACATGAATTGCAGCTTCAAATATCAGTTGGCTTAAAAGTCTTTTTGAATCCGATATTCTCATTCAGCTCATCTCTCCACCTCCATAATCATAATGTAATGCTGAGACTGGTTTTGCACCTCGTTTTCACCCTTGTTTTTAGGGCTTATCATGCACTTGCAGATTCCTTTCTAAAATGTGATTACATGAACGAAGAAAGTATAAAATTATCGTTTGTGTTATGATGTACTTGATACCTTTTGGCTTTTGTCTTGTTATTACCATATCAAAGGTCATAAATAATCCCAATTGATGTAACCAAATGACAACTAAATCAGTCATCTCTGAAGGGCTTCGAAGGCCATAAAATAAAAGATAAATTGAAGTAATTAAAATAAATATTGAAATTAGCTTTATCTTAATCATTCGGATATCATTGTAGCATTCTGTAGTTTGCTTGCCAGGGAAGTTGAACCTAGTCAGTCAAAAGCAGTTCAGGCATCTGGAGACAACTCTATTATTCAAATGAATTTGTACACACACACACATATATAGATATATATATTTGGGACTGATGTATGTTTGATGCTTGATGCTTGTTCATTGCTGTGTTGTGCTCTTATATTGAGACCCATGGTAGCTATTATGACTTCCTTTTCATCTTCCTTAGCTCTTTGGGTAATCATTCATTAAGCCTATATTCTTATCGTGGTGTGCAGCCCAGCTGGCGAAGGCCAAAGGGTATTGATTCCCGTGTAAGGAGAAAGTTCAAAGGATGTACCTTGATGCCAAATATTGGTTACGGGTCAGACAAGAAGACCCGTCACCATCTCCCTAATGGATTTAAGAAATTTGTTGTGCACAATGTGAGTGAGCTGGAACTCTTGATGATGCACAACAGGTAACGGGCTCCCTTTGGTGTGCGTTTTGATCTCTGTTTCTTATTTACTGGCTCGTTTCTGTATTTATTGACGTGATGAAGTTTCAGGACTTACTGTGCTGAGATAGCGCACAACGTATCAACCCGGAAGCGTAAGGAGATTGTTGAGAGGGCAGCACAGTTGGATGTTGTTGTTACCAACAGAACAGCCAGGTTGCGTAGCCAAGAGGACGAGTGATTGGTGGTGCCAATCAAGTTTTTATTTTTATTTGTTATCGTCTTTTATTGGCTTGAAAGTTTTGGAACTTGGTGGTAAATCTTTTCCTGAATGATTGTACTGAGATACTTGGTGGAGATAGAGACTTTTTCACCCCAGCTATGGTTTGACACATTAATCACCAATGGCCTCCTCAAATTGATGAAACAATGAATATACACCAAGCATGAACCTCCACGAAATTGACAAGCCATTGGACTTAGTTGCACTATCCCTGGAAAATTGAGCTGTTGTATTTTGGGTATTGTCGCCTGTCAAATTGTAACTTGGAGGTCAAAATGACCTTTTGGATATCCTTTCTGAGAAATTTTAAGTACTATGATGTTTCTATTGAGAAACAAAATCATGAGATCATAGTATTTAAGATCCAGTACTATGATGTTTCTATTGAGAAACAAAAGCATGAGATCATAGTATTTAAGATCCATTAGAGTTGCCCTTTGTTGTTTTCCCCCCTTTTTTGGGGGGGGGGGGGCGGTTCAGGTACAACGTACACTATGCGTTAATAATATTACTTGTAATTCTATTCATTAATAAAAATTTATTCTGGTAAAATTTTAGAAAAATTGAGATCATAAAGAACAAATATGCCCTCAACTTAAAACAAATTCTCCCCCAAAAGGAAAATCAAGAATAACTTCCGCAAATCGAGGTTCGAGCAACTCCTAAAGATTGAAATACTACCACTGAAGGCTCAGAGAGCTTGGTTGAAGCATGCGGATGGAAATGGAACATGGCTTCATTTAATTATAGTAGAGTGGAGATTATAATTCTCTACTTAACAAGCACAATGCTTCAAGGAAAAAAATGGTGTGGGTACAATGTGGGTTTTATTCACCCCATGTGTCACTCTCTATGGTAATATGATTAGAAGGACCACGCGCACACACGTGGGCGCACACATGTCACTAGTGGGATTTAAACAATTAGTGAAGGTAATATAATATGTGATGTGATTGTATGGATTTGAAGCTTTACTTGCAGTCCAAGTCAATAATACTCGTTTTTCGTCTCTTATTCACAAGCTAACTTCAAAAATAATAATGATTAGTTCTTACTCAATTTTCATAGAAAAATTTTCGATGAACTTTGGACCACAAAATGCCTCCACCAGCCACTAATCACCAACTTTAATTTAGGTAAACAACTGCCTAAGCGTACTCAACGTAAAATATGGAACCAAGGGTTTTGGATAACAAGAAAGCGAAAGCAAAAGATTAAAATATGCATCCTACGTGCTGTTTTATTTTTAGCCTTTGATTATCGTGTGTAACATACGCTGTAATTAACATCATCAACTCATGAAACAGCATGACAAACCAAGACTAGGTAGCCTACATTTAGTTCCCCAAACATGATTACCTTTGATAAGAAAGATACAAATGCATAGAAAAAAAAGACATCAACTTGCGAATAAAACATGAAAAGCTTGATTTTTTTTTTTTGGGGTACACATGAAAAGCTTAATTAATTGTACAATAAAACGAAATATTAACAAGAGAGCCCTTCAATGTAGAATCACAAATTATTTCTTCTTCCAATTTTTTTGATATGTTCGGGTGCATGCAAAGCTACGTTAAACCGACTTGATACATTATGACTATTGATATAATTTGACTTTAAAAAAAATCCAAAAAAAAAAGAACGAGCTTTTTCAGGTGATTTTGTTGAATCACAAATGATTTCTTCGAATCCTTTTTATAATGCTCATTTTGCTAGAAACCTTGAGATGAGGAGTGATGTACTTTCTCCCCACGATGAGACCTGATCTACATGCTAAAGTATAATTACTGAGTAAATATTTGTATCTTGTACCAAGTTGAGTAGCTAATCTGAAAGAACCTAAAATGAAGCTGTGCCAAGGTGAGGCTAGAACAGAAAAATAATTGAACTCCCAGACTAACTTCAGCACTAGTAAATAAACAACTCCACATGAGTGGTAAAAAATAATATAAAATAAAAAGCTGATGCATCATAATCTTCCAGGCCAATTTGGACAAAAAGAAAAGCATGATGATCTTCAATCTTCTCAGTGTTGCAGTCTATCTGATATGCATGACAAACAAAATCAATCAGGAAGATGATTACCTGGATAAAGGCCGTAAAAAGGCATTATATAGAATTCAATGTATATCATCAGATCAGTGCAGACAAATAGACATGCTTAATCCACTAGACGATATGGTCTTAGATGTATAAATAATATCAATAAGCCACAAATACAAATTATAGTTCAGGTTATGCACCTTCTGGCCAGACAAAAACGATGCCCAATTTGTCTTCCTCGTCAAATTTGGTGAAAGCCAACCTTCCTATCTTTGAGAGTCACAACATTGAGGGAATTCGCAATTGCAAGCACCTGTTCTGACCTGGTTCAGAAGTTTGGAACGAACAATTTTAACCAGAAAACTTGAATCCTAGAATAACACTAATTTATTACTAGTAACAGTTTATAGGCATCAACATTGCATCTCTAATGGTTCCAAACCTCTTTATGATAGCAACTAGTGACAATACTATAGTAAGACATTAACCGTGGGCATATACATGATTCTCCATATATATTGGATAATTCTTGAAAAGGAACCATGCTTACTGTTCCTGTAAAAGTTGGTCTTGAGGAATATAGATCAGGAACATTAGCGTAGGCTAACTGATCATATTGACCAAAATAAAGGGGGAAAAAATAACGGGAAAGGGCATCACCTAGAAAGGAGAAAATGACAAGCAAAGGGCAGCAATTGCTGTTAAGGTAATTCAGAAGACAGGATCAAAAGCCCCAACTGGTGGAAGCGGTTTACCAACAAATATCCTCTATCTTTCCTTGTGTTTATGATGCATAGATACTTTAAAAGGGGACTAACAAGTTGCTCTCAGGAAGACAAAAAGCCAAAAACAGGAGATCCACAAACCTTTCGAAAAGTAAAAGATACCCTTCTTGAAGCTCTTCTGATAACTCTCTCATTCACCTTGTCAATCTGTGGGAGTTAAAATCCTCATGGAATTATTTATAGACAATAATATGATCAGGGCACACCTAAAAGTATATTAAGAAAGGACGAGTGTTTCTGATCAATCTTCAAAGTTTCATGCTAATAAAAGAAGAAAGTAGTCATTATTGATCCAGAAATGACGTTATCAAACCTTGTGGTGAGGAATGTAATGGTGCCATGCATATCGCGCTTCTCCAGACATCAGTAGCATAGATCGAGGGGGAAGATAGATAGCCTTCCGAATAAAATTTAGATCATCCTCTGGACTTTCCACTTCTGAGGCAACTCTGGGAACCCAATCACCATTTGCATATCTCCTGAACTCCATTATACAAGGCCCAGCTAATGAAAGGCTGAAAATTAAATCTTCAAATGCAGAATGGGTGTCTATGTGAGGGGACAAGCCCACACCAGAAGGGTACTCATTTACCTGTATCATAATATTGACACTCAAAACATCAGACATAAGGAGACAATATTAATATATAAAATAACCTAATGGTAACAACATACTTGTAATAAATATACAATTCCATTAGTTCAGCAATACTTAGCTTACCGTAAGTTGGTCCAAAACTACATTTTCAGCATTCCTGAGAGTTGGGAATGATGAGATCCTTTCAAGTATGGGGAAAACAAATGATGGAAGTTCACCCAAGCGGTGCTTTGTATTAACATTCCTTGTCTGCGCAGCCAAATAAAAGTGGACAGTAAAGCCTATAGCAATCAATATTATTCTCATATTACTCAACACGGTATTTTATCTTGAGCAGTACTTGAAACCTTTCAGGAAAGAAAAAATCACCAATTGAGCAAAAGAATCAGTTATCTGACTTGGAAGAAATCAGATCGTAATAATTTAGAGGCAATAACAATGACTAAATGAAAAGCATAATGGCAAAGAAATTAGAGAAATAAATACATAAAAACAGATAATAGCACCAATATGATATTATCCTTGAACATGGAAATTAGTCCCACATAAAAGAGGAGAAAGATATTGCATTTGTATTAGATAAATGACTGAAAGAATACGATTAAATATTTGATATTTGTAGTAACGGTTTTTATATGGCATCTTGGGATGGACAGTGTTATGGCGGAATAGAGGCAAAGAAAAAGGAGATTTTGATTATCTTTAATTGGGCTATTGGAGGAGAGAATGTTTGAAGCAAAATGCACGTAGATACTCACTATGGTCTTATATATAAGCTACAAATAACCAAATTACATAGATTAAAAAGTTGGTCAAAATTGGTTGAAAAATTGAAAGTGTAAAAAAATGTAAGCTTTTTCCAAATATACCCTTATTCATGGAGAAAGTGAGTGAGACAGAATCAGTGGGAAAAGAGATGAGAGAGAATAAGTGAGAAAGAGACATTAGTGAGACATGTAATCAAAGGGGAGTAAAAATGGGGAAAAATGCATTAAATGTTCAGACATATTCAAAGTGTAACTTGTAAAAAGGACCAAACCCATTTAAAAAACTGTAGTTTATAAAAAGGACCAGAGTGAGTATGTTCTAAGCATATCAACCAATATAACGATGCACCAATTTTGATGAAAAACAGTAGTGGTGCATCGTGATTACAAAAAATTCACTATCAGGTTATAAACTTACATCATAACAAAACTCATAACCATAGTGTTGAACCCTTCTTTTGGAAAGATGATTCCAAGGTCTGCAGTCAACTTCTTGGAGCAATGCCTGGGAAGATGGAAAAGGACCATACTCATCATACGATAATTAAATTAGGAATAGAAATATAAGATTGGAAAAAAAAATACAAATATGAAAAGAAAAACTATATTAAAGCTAAGGCAAAAACAGCTAACCTTCTCTTCCTTAGTACTAATGAAGTCATGCACAAGGTAAAGGCCTGGAATGCCAAGATCTGAGGCTGTGATAGACACAGGAACCAAGTTATTTACCTGACTCTAAACAAACATGTAAACTTATCAACAAACATGGATAATGAAGAAATCCATTGCAACAACCAACATTAAAAGGAAAATCATCTCCTCACACAAGTAATTTACCATCTACTCAAACGACTTTTTTCAACTTAAACATTCAACTTAGGGATGATTAAATTTTCTCAAGCAACAAAATATGATAATAGACAGAACACATAATTATAAATAAAGTGATGTCTTTTCATATACACCTCAATGCAGCACAAAAACTGAATATTAATTCTAGCCAAGGATCAGTCTTTGGGCCTAGTTGAGAGATGGGGGTAAGATGGGTTTGGAAGGGAATCCAAGGAAAAGCTTTCCAAAGCTCTTCAGGACATCAAATTAAGACACACTAAAGGAAACCAGAAAAAAATATGGACTATAATTAAATGGAAAATAAAAAATAAGAGAAAAAAGAGAAGGACACAACAATTTGTTGAAATTACAAGTGTGTGAAAATAGGTGATATTCAAGAGGATCGTATAAATCAAATTGGAATGGAAGTTTGTGTTTCATCTCTTTGCTACAGAAAAGCTGAAGAAAATTTGACCTTCAATCACTTGATATTAATTAATCACTTCGTATTAATTAGGCTCACAAAGTCAAGCAAATAGAAAATGACCACAATACTACTTGACGATAACAAGAAGAATGCCGACTATTACAGCAACAACATGTGCTTATAAGGTCAATGATATGCTTAGCCTTTATGATCAAAACAATGTAATTTATTCACATTTCTTAAGACTTCGAAGTTGCCAGCACAGCTGGAGGCCTAGAGAAATACCAATCAATATCCAAATAGACACTGCTCTAGTTTGGTAGAAAAATCCAAGGGCAATTGGTTCTGATAAGAAGAAACAAAAAATGTAATAGTCGGATCTAAATTAAGTTAGAATCATTCTGGCTTTAAGAAATAGTTGTGACTAATATATACAATTGGAAAAAGAGAAAGATACAAGTCTGAGCATAAAAGAAGAGCAAAGTCTTCTTCCACTGAAGGATCTGATTATATTTTCATCCTAAACCCCTCATATCCCTAAAGTTTTTCAGGTCAAGAAGTTAAATGATAGATATCAATATGATACCTTCAATTTCAAAATAATTGTTGGGAGTGGGCCTCCGCTATTAGGCCCAAAGTAGTTTTTTGTTTCTGGTTTGACTAAGTAACAGCCTTTTAGGGTTAATTATCTTTATTATCATTATTTCCGTGTTTCTAGGGATCATAGAATTATTCTGTTTCCTTTATTATGTTTTTTCCGTATTGTATCCTAGGAAGATCTCGGATGATTTTGTGAGATCTCCTCCTCTCTCCTATAAATATAGCGCTCTGTACAGTGAATAAAATATACCATTCAGCGCACCATATTGTTCATGGTATCAGAGTGCCACCCATGTCCTTCAAAGAAGTGCTGATCGGTCAGCCCAGAATCCTCAATACCGATGGTGAAAAGACCCCATCATCATCGGAGCCAAACAAGGACTCCTCAACCACGACCGATAGCGATGGGAGCAAGTCAACTAGACTGGTAAATGACTCTCTCTCTAGCCTGATCATTACCCATCGGCTGAATGGGAATAATTATCTTCAATGGTCCCAAAACATGCTCATGTTTGTTCGTGGAAGGAAGAAGGAAAAATATCTCACTTGAGATCCGAAACCACCAGAAGCTGGTGATCCTCAATACGACACTTGGTGTGCAGATAATAACTTGGTAATGACTTGGTTGGTTCATTCCATGACACCCAAGATTAGCGAGAATTATTTGCTCGCCAGTTCTGCTCATGAAATCTAGGAATCAGCTAGGCGTACCTACTCAGTGAAGGAAAACACAACCGCGCCGCCATATTACAAGTAAAGCAATTACTCTGCAACCCCTCACAAGGGGAAAAATCTATGACAGTATATTACAGCACCCTTGTGAGACTTTGGCAGCAAATTGACCTTTATGGGGTCCAATGGTCATGCCATACCGATGAATTCTACTACAAAAAGGTAATTGATAGAGAAAGATGCTATGAATTTCTACTTGGTCTTAATGATACTTTTGAGGATATTAGGGGGCGTATCATGAGCATCAAACCTATCCCGACTCTTGAGGATGTCTTTAATATGGTCAAGAATGAGAAAAGCCGAAAAGCTCTAATCCAGAGTCTGTCTTCCATTACTCCTTCCCCTATGATTCAGAGTTCAGCAATGGTGACTCGTAATAACCAAGGGGGAGACTATAAGGGAAAGAAATCTTCCTTGAAGTGTGATCATTGCAACAAAAATGGACACACACGGGATACTTGCTGGAAGATACATGGGAAACCAGCCCATTTGAAGCAACGGTCTAAAGGAGAAAGCAGGGGACTTTGTAACAGGCACCCCCATTGATTAGAATGATAGTCTGGATCACGAAGAGCTTTCTATGCTGCGACGAATTTTACATAAGTATTCTCACAACAAGCCAAGTGAACAACCTACTCCTACTGTTACGTTAGCCCATGCAGGTACTGTTTTATTTATTGCTTTGATTTAAGTGCTATCACGGGGTCTAAGAATATTTGGGTGGTCGATTCTGGAGCCACATATCACATTACAGGTTATAGGGAATTATTCTCAACACTTAGTCCTTATGCTGAACACTCTCGGGTTCAAGTTGCAAATAATACCTATGCTACAGTTATGGGTTCTGGAACTATCATTTTATCTGAAAAAATTATTCTTGAAAATGTTCTCTATGTACCTGACATAAAACGTAATCTGCTCTCTGTAAAGCATTTGGCCCACAAGTTAAATTGCCTAGTTATCTTTGACAAGTCTCAATGTGATTTTCAGGACATAGCTTTGGGGAAGGTGATTGGCAAAGCTAAGGAAAGTAATGGGCTAATTATTTCGAGGGCGATCACATCAGTAAAAGCTGTGCAACTGCTTCTGCAATTTATTCTAAACCTGCTTCTCTTATGTCTTCTGAGGAAATTTTGTTATGGCATTATAGGCTAGGTCATCCAAGTTTTGATTACATGAGAATTTTGTTTCCAAATTCAATGAATAAAAATACTTCTCAGTTTATTTGTGATACCTGTCAGTTTGCCAAACAAACTCGGAATTCTTATCCTCTTAGTTCTTATACTCCAATCCAACCTTTTGCCCTTATTCATAGTGATGTTTGTGGACCATCAAGGGTTGCCACTAATTCTAAAGCAAGATGGTTCGTTACTTTTATTGATGATCATACCCGTTTAACTTGGCTTTTTCTGATGAAAGATAAATATGAAGTTTTCACTGTTTACAGTTTTTTATGCCTTTATTCAAACACAATTCAATGCTTCCATTAAAATTCTTCGAAGTGATAATGGGAGAGAATATCTTAACTCTAAATTCCAGCATTTTCTTGCTGAAAAAGGCATTCACTACCAAACCTCTTGTGCGTACACACCTCAACAAAATGGCGTGGCTGAGCGCAAAAATAGACATCTTTTGGAAGTAGCTCAGGCTCTTTTAATTGGCCAAACTGTCCCAAACAATTTCTGGGGGGATGCAGTTCTTACTGCAACTTATCTCATAAATAGAATGCCTTCCAAAGTTTTGAAATTTCAAACCCCTCTCCAAAAATTTCTAGAATTTTTTCCTACCTCCCATCTTATTAATTCTCGTCCAAGCCGTGTATTTGGCTGCATAGCATTTGTGTTCAGTGATGACAGTGGGAAATTAGATTCTAGGTCCATCAAATGCATTTTTTTGGGCTATTCTTCCACACAAAAAGGGTATAAATGTTACTCTCCAGCCACAAAACAGGTTTATATCACAATGAATGTCAAGTTTGTTGAAACACTTCCATTTTATTACAAATCACCCATTCAGGGGGAGCAGACTAGTGAATGGCTTATTTGTCCTACAGCGGATACTCCCACTTATCCCATGGATGGGCACCCTATAACTGGAACTCAAACATCACTAGACAGACCTACATCACTAGACAGACCTGAATTTCCAGCAACCGAACCAACAGCTGAACCTGAACCATCCATAAACAGGCCTGAAATCACCTGTCCTCACCTAGAACCACCAAATGCCCAACCAGAAACTCAGCCAAATAGAGCTGAAATCCAAGCAGAATCAGAAATCAGACCTGAACCTGTACCTAATACAACCCCGGAAGTAAACCCAAGCTCATATGGGGATGAAAACAGGGAGAATCAGATTGAGCAGCCAGCACACCAAGAAGATCCCATTACCATTCCGAGGCAGAGCCATGAAACTCTACCTGAGGCTACTCCTGAAGATCTTCAATGGCCTATTGCACTAAGAAAAGGCAAGAGAAGTTGTACACGGCACCCAATCAGCAAGTATGTCTCCTATGAGAGGCTTAATTCTCAATTTAAGGCATTTGTTACTACTATTGACAAGGAAGAAGTTCCAAAAAATTTTGAGGAAGCTATGACTGATCCAAACTGGAAATTAGCAATTGAAGAAGAGTTGAGGGCCCTAGATCAAAATAAAACCCGGGAAATTGCTAATTTACCTCGTGGGAAGTCTCTTGTAGGAAGTAAATGGGTATTTACCAATAAATTTAATCCTGGTGGAAGTATAAACAAGTATAAGGCAAGACTAGTTGCAAGGGGTTTCACCCAAACTCATGGGATTGACTATCAAGAGACATTTGCACCGGTCGCTAAATTTAACACTATAAATGTCCTCCTTTCTATTGCAGCAAATCTAGATTGGCCTTTGCATCAATTGGATGTAAAAAACACCTTTCTAAATGGAGACTTAGAGGAAGAAGTTTATATGGAAGTACCTTTAGGATTGCGTGGTCCAGAAAATGAAGACAAGGTTTGCAAACTACACAAGTCTCTGTATGGTTTGAAACAGTCCCCTAGGGCATGGTTCGAAAGGTTCACACGTGCCATGAAGGGATTTGGATACAAACAATGCCAAATAGATCATACATTATTTGTTAAACACCATGCTAATAGAATAATAGTGTTGATTGTGTATGTTGATGATATGGTGTTAACAGGTAATGATCCTGAAGAAATTAAAAACTCGAAGGGAAGACTAGCCATCAAATTTGAAGTAAAAGACCTCGGCAACCTAAGATATTTTCTTGGGTTAGAGATTGCCAGATCACAGAAGGGTATTAGAGTATCACAGAGAAAATACACTCTAGATTTGCTCAAAGAAACCGGGATGCTTGGGGCCAGGCCTGCTGATACTCCTATGGAGTTCAATTGTAATTTGGAAATTTCTCCTGATGGAAAGTCTGTTAACAGGGAGAGATATCAAAGGCTAGTGGGAAAGTTGATCTACTTGGCCCATACAAGGCCAGATATATCCTTTGCTGTGGGGGTTGTTAGTCAATTTGCAAATAATCCTCAGAAAGAACATATGGAAGCTGTGTACCGTATAGTTAGATAGCTGAAGAAAACTCCTGGTAAAGGTCTATTTTTCTGCAAAGGGGACAAATAGGATATTGAGATATACACTGATGGAAACAAGAGGGTGCCTGATCTAAAGGGTGATACAAGTATAGAAGTATATACAGATGCAGATTGGGCAGGTGCAATAAGTGACCGACGGTCTACCACAGGATACTGCATGTTTGTCTGGGGAAATCTGGTGACTTGGAGGAGTAAGAAACAATCTGTTGTGTCAAGAAGCTCGGCTGAGTCAGAATACGAGGTGCTGGCTCTTGGAATTTGTGAAGGAATCTGGGTAGTTCGGTTGATCAAGGAACTGGGTATAGAAGTAATCACACCAATCAAGATGTGGTGTGATAGTATGGCAGCTTTAAAGATTGCAAACAATCCTGTACAGCATGATCGAACAAAGCACGTTGAGATTGATAGACATTTTATCAAAGAAAAAATTGAAGCTAAGGAAATTGATCTCTCATACATTCCTTCTGGAAAGCAGGTGGCAGATGTAATGATTAAGCCACTTGTAAAAACAAAGTTCAATGAGCTCACAAGCAAGCTGGGAATGCTCAACATTTATTCTCCAGCTTGAGGGGGAGTGTTGGAAGTGGGCCTCCGCTATTAGGCCCAAAGTAGTTCTTTGTTTCTGGTTTGTCTAAGTAACAGCCTTTTAGGGTTAATTATCTTTATTATCATTATTTCCTTGTTTCTAGGGATCATAGAATTATTCTGTTTCCTTTATTATGTTATTTCCATATTGTATCCTAGGAAGATCTCGGATGATTCTGTGAGATCTCCTCCTCTCTCCTATAAATATAGCGCTCTGTACAGTGAATAAAATATACCATTCAGCACACCATATGGTTCAATAATTATTTACCATATTGCTTGAGAAGATCCAGTACCTGTGAAACAGGCTGAAGCATTGAGTAACGAATATGTAAAGATCGGCCTCCAAGTTTGGAACACGGAACTCCATTTAATCCCTTTAAGGCAGCTTTGGCAGAACTTTCTTCAGAAAAAGATACAATGACACGGGTACCACTCTCATCTGCTGCATAAACTCCCTTTACATCCCCAAATTCACTAAACACAGATGCAATAGCATCATGAGAAAGTCCCACAGCTGGGCCACAGTTTGCAACATAGAGGTTTGGACTCAATTCACCATCATTCTTAGGACGCACAAACCTTGCCATAGCCACTAATCTTTTATCATTCTTCAACTACAAAAATGAATAATTGAAGACTCAGTTCCAGTGGAGTCAAATGTACAATAAGGTTACAATGAATTGCAATAATGTAACAGCTATAAAACACTTACTCAAACACCCAGCAAAACACTATTTTCAATAATCAGAAATGACTCAAGCAAAATACTGAACCACATAAGAGACAGACAAAACAAATACCACAATAGGTCTGCATTATATGGCTCAAGCAAAATACTGAACCAAATAAGAGACAGAGAAAACAAATACCAAAATAGGTCTGCATTATATGGCTTAAAATCCAAACATTTGAAGCTAAGACCCTCCATCAAAGTTGTGAATACATAGGGTTCTTATATATAGGCTTTAGGTTCACTAGTACATTACTTTTCAGATAAATGTTGTTGGTCTGTTTCTTCTGGATGTATGTATTGATTTTAAAAAAAAAAAAAAAAAAAGGAAAAATTTCCATCAATTTTCTCATCTTGGCTAAGGAACATGAAAGCCAGCCTGAATGCTGATTTGCTATGAGTTGCAGTGTAGAAAGAAAAGCTTTTTTTCTCCATAATAATTAAAATAAGGAACTCAATTGTCAGGTTATAATGCAGAATTACCCATTATGGGCTGTCGCAATGAACCCAAAACTGGTCATCAAGTCCACCTTTCAAAAGGAAAAACATGTAATGCATGCTTTGTATTAGAACTATCAAAGCAGGCTAGTCCATACTGGCTTGTCACAAGTAACTGGGCTCAATTGCTCAAATTTACAAATCAAGCCTTTCTTATTTTCTAGGTTTTTTGGTCTTCAACTATGTAAGACTATAGAATTTCAAGGAAAGATAACCAATACAAAAAGTTATTCATTTCAAACTCCGTGACTAAGGTCTGAATTTCATTTGCTTCACTAAGGTTTCTTACCATCATCATGAATTCAACAAACTCAACAATTTGGTTTTCATGGACTTGATGCAACAGGGAACTATTTTGCTAGTCACACATAGTTGTGACTCGCCTCTCGCAGGCTCCTGGGGAAAGAGGGGGAAATGGGAGGGGTCGCCCTAAAACCTAAGCTTGATGACCTCAAATCAATATATTCATTTTCTTTTCCAGCTATGATCAAAATCGGTTCAAATACCCACTTATAGTCGTTCTACATATTGGCTTATCTTGGACAACATAGGAAGCTACTGCACCAAAAAAATTAAAAAAAAAAACTATATTCTTACATCTCAGGATCCACAACCTATATATTTTCCATCTTATGTTCAACTCAAAGTTCTTCAATTTTTAAGTTTTAGGAGCTCATCTATCACATGTGCTTTGACCTATATCTAAATTTAGCTACTCGGAAAAGGTTGGTAAACGCCGTTAGATAGATTGAATGGCAATTAGCACGTAGAAATGAGGACTTCAATCCTAGGACATACAGTTTCTGACGCCAAGTAAATCAAAGCTGGCAATTGAACAGACCCGCAGGTTTCATCCACCTAGGCATTCATAATCATCCTTCATTGAGCAACCAACTCAGGACAGGCGCCAAGCAGCAATAATGCAAATATCATCCACCAGAACATTGCCACCAGCCAATTCTTATCTCATATTTCATAAACCCAGACTCAACAGTGGGGAGAAGGTGGATACTAACAGCGGTGCAGAGAACAACGTCCAAATCGCCGACCAGCTAACACGGTGGCGCTGCGGATGCAGGTGGCTAGCGTTCCTCTAGGATAGTGTTGGTGTTGGTGATCGGGCGTAGCCGTTCGCGGGCTCTGAGGCTGAGCGACGCCAATGAGGTTGGGGCGCTAGTGGGAAGCGCGGGATGGCGGAGGGGAGGGCAAACAAATACAATTCTCAAGGCCTAACTTCGCATTCTTCACAATCAATTAAATTTTATTAATAAAATCAATTATTAGACTACCAATCAAATTTTAAACGAGAATATTTCTAAAAAGAAATTTAAATTTTATTAGTCTAACCAATTTTTTTGCCCTTATAATCTAACTAATTTAAACTATATTTTTTAATAATTAGTAAGTCATCAAAGAAAATAGTAACTTCATTTTTGCTGACTTCTTTTTTAGGACATATAATTCACTTCAAATCTTTTAACAGCACTTATAAACTAATTTATTGTTAACTCAACATTCAAAAGTATTTTTTTTCATGATGCTTGTTATTCATTATTCTCAAATACTTTTAAAAAAAATATTTTTATGTATCCAGTATTTGAAAATATATTTTAGTTGTCGAGAAAAATAGAATAAAATTGCACAAAACATAACAATAAATTAGTTTAGAAGACTACAAAGAAATAACTCATGTGCTTTAAAATTCCTTGTGATTATTAAATGAGATTCCAACAAGAAATTTTTTCCTTAAAATTAAATATCTTTACTATCTATACTTCCTTAAATTCTTCTTTTAGAATCTGTGTGATTAAGGAGAGAGATTTTAATGGAAGATGGAAAAAAGGACAGCATAGTGACTTTAATTGAGAGGAGAGAAGTGGTTTTAATATTATTTTCTATGGTTCACAAGAAGAGAGGAGAATACTTTTTATATGGACAATTTTATTTTTATTTTAATAATACGTAGATAGGATCAAAAATTAAAACATCCTAGCTAATTATTAATTAATGTATTAATTAAAAATAATATTTTTGCCAACATTAAAAAATTAATACGATTTTTATATCTATTTAAAATATCCCACCAAAATATTTTTTTGATTTTAAATATAAGATCGTAAAAAAGATTTTATACTACCTCCGGTCCTTACCCCGTTTGACTTTTTATTTGGTCCTAATTATAAGACCCCAATCCATTTTGTCTCTTATATTTATGCATTTTTTTTCAAGATAATCCTTTTAATAATGATAGCTCTAGCCAATATACTTAATTAGCAAGGATATTTTAGGAATGACAATACTTATTTATTACAAATAACCAACTTAACTTACTTCCTTAATCTCTTCAAATAAGTTAACTGGGTCTTATAATTAGTATTTAGAAACTGAGGAGTAATAGAACTGAAGAAGGGTCACCTCCTCCTCTGAAACTTGTGGAGCGAATTCTTTTTGGAATTTTCTCCAATAAAAATTCTTTTGAATTATGGTAGTCAATGATCGCCCAAGCCTTCTGCTACGTCAACCCACTCTCGCCTGTGCTGTGCAATGTGGATAAGCCATAGACCATCCTAACCTCCAAGTTGAAACTAACGATCATAAAAAAATAGAGAGAGATCGAAGTTTGTGTGCCTGGTTTTGGTCATATTTTTGTCTTCATTTCAAATTCAAAATCGAAACCCTTCCCAGAGCTCACATGGCGAAGCTTACTCCTTCACCTTCTCCCGTGACATAATTCTTTTGAAGCCTTCGATGGAGGCAAGGAGACTCGCCATTTTGTGTTCCCATCTTCGCCCCATCGGGTTGAGTCCCGATTATAGTTCGTCTCACCGTTTGCGGGTTTCGGGTTTGCCTTGTACTTCTTTCTCTTCTGATCGGGAAAATCGATTGCGTGATACGCAGAAAGAGAAGTTGCAGGATGATTGCATTTTCTGTAAGATTGTCCGTGGCGAATCACCCGCTTTCAAGGTATGATTTTGGCTTCTGGATTTTCTTGCCTTCTTATTCTTAACGGTCTTGCGCCTCTTGTTTTAGTAAATACAAGCCAATACGTGATTATTTGTTTGGTGGCTGAGAAAATTGTGGAAATATGATATTTTTGATTTCTTGTGGGCAATCTGGTATTGAAGTTGCTCTAATATAGCATTCAATTGCATCTAGTTAAGAAATGGTGAAACTGATCGGAAAGAGACTTATAGAACCTACTGGGTCCTCTCGCACTTTCAAGGCATTGAATAAAATTTCAAAAATCTTCATATGCATGTTGTACAAGGCGTATTTAATGAGTTCACCAACTTGTTAAATCTTGTGAGGGTTGTGGTTATTCTTTGCCAACTGTTTGGAACGTTCTACTGCTGCTTTAAGTGGTAGTAAACCAAGTACCCAACTTCTTATGATACAGAAAACAATCTCTCTCTCTCTCTCTCTCTCTCTCTCTCATGGGCTAACGGTCATTGATATGACAAACGAGAATGCAGGCCCCCATGGTTGCTTAACTATTATAAAGCGGATAATATTATGTCCATGAGAAAGTGATGACGTGACCTGCTTATACAATCATAGAGACTGTAAGGTTTCTTGCGAACACTGTTCGTATAACTCGTTCATTTCATTTCTTACTCTGAAGTGGCGAAGATTTAATATTCACTCTAAAAAGGTGTTAATGCTATTGGCTTGGAAGTTCATGGGTTTTTGGTTGCCCACATATTAAATGATTTTAGAGATTAAATTTACAAGTTTCCAATTGTATTAACTTTGTTCTTTTTAGACCATCACAAATTCGTTCTCATTGTTGTGATGCAGAAATTGACATTGTGGACAATGCTCTAGGAACTTTTTCCATACTAAAAGCAAACTTTGCTGTCTTTACTGATATTTTTGGACATTCTGACACATTTTCTCCTTTGATTATCGTTTACTAATGTTTATTGAAATTGACAGCTGTTTGAAGATGACTTTTGCGTATGTATACTGGACACGAATCCGCTGAGTCACGGGTAAGGTATCATATATCTTGGTAGCAAGTACAAATGGACATATTGTGACGCATAGTCTTGTCCCCTCTAGTTTTGTTTTATGTCATTATGCACAAGCACATTTGGAAATGCTAGAAGGAATAAAGATGCACGTAATTGCTGTTCCATACATTGTGATACTGAATATCATCAGTTACCTTAGAAGTTGATAAAGTTAGTCCCGCGTCCCCCAAACTGCTGATTGCATCCAACTGCACTCATAGAGCAGATGTGTTTCATCAGTAGAAGCTCAGTGAAAGCATGATTGAAAGAAAAGTGAACTAAACTTTGGTGGTTGAGCCAGAATTTTAAACAAAAAATGTATGTATCTTCAATAGCCAAGAATGTTGGCAACAGCCAAGAAATGAAGGGTCTCTTAGATAGATATAGGGCAATCTTCAGTACTTTTGTGTTGTAATTTAAATGAAAAAAACCTTTGAAATAGAGTTTTCAATATTCAAATATAAAACGTAACTGTGTATGACCCAAGATTGAATCTCTTAAGATGAGGGGGGTTTTGTTGGGTGCATCACTGAACAAATGAAGATAAAGTACAATGGGGGATATGATGGAAGTCAGTGGCGTTCTCAACTGATCGTGGGATTACAGGCGTTTCATGAACATTTTGACCACCACCATCTACACTAATACAACAACAACATAGGAATGACCAAGAAAATATGAGGTATGGGGGACCAGTTTAGGTTATACAGAGAGTAACAATCTGATGGAAGTAATTGTGTGCATTTTTGTGTGAGTGAGAGAGCAAAAAGTTCAGGCCTTGTTGAAATGTCATCACTTTATCATATGCTGGAACATGATGTGGTAACAAATAGAAAATTATGCCTACAGGTTTAAAATTTTAGACCTACTTTTTTTTTTTTTTTTTTACTGTTCTACGTGAGATTGTTTGACCATCAACTTTTTATTTCCAATATTTTTTTTCCAGGCACTCTCTCATAATCCCCAAATCTCATTTTCCGTCATTAGATGCTACCCCTCCATCAGTAAGTAATTTCAATAGGTCTGAAGTTCTAATATATTTGCTGACTGGTTTTTATCATTAGTTTGTATATGCTTTTAAGGTTATAATAAATCTCTTCTCAGTGCTGGATGACGACGGCATTAACAAAAGAATGAGAAAATCGTACTATGTTGATTCCATGGCACTTTAAAAGCCAAATGATATTACATGTGTTAGTGTATGTACCCGAGCATGGAAAAAGACTTCTGACACGCAAGTATCAACGGCCCCCTTGGGTCTCTGATTGTTTCTGGATTCAGAAATTAGTGGTAATATATAATTTGCATTAATGGCGGAAGTTTTAAAATTGAAAATCTAAGACCTCTGCTTTCATTCCATCAAATGTGGGACATGAGAAAGGACCAAAAGAGGACAACAGACAGTAGAAGGCTAGATAAATAAAACAATGACAATAAGAATAGCCGGCTCAAATTATAAAAAAAAAAAAAAAAAGTCATCAATTCAAGAACTTAGCCAACCGGTAGTACACTCCCTTGATCATGTCCTTGACATCTAAGCAACTCTCAGACTTTCTTCCCATGAGTAGCCCCTCAACATTCTTCAACTACCCTCCTCAGCGTGATTATCTATCATTCTAACACAGCATCCTACAACTACAAGTCTTGAATCTGCTTCCTACGAGAAGCTCCCTTAACCATCTCCTTGTTGGTTGTCATTACTAGAGGTGCATACCAAAGCAACCATTGATGCACAGTTCTCTCTCTGCTTCCAAAGTCTTCAATATGCAATTGTTAGACCTTTTCCTGTTCACAAGTTGCAATCTCCAATGTTGCACCAATGTCTTTGACTGCACTGTCCACAATCACCAAAGTAGAACACAACATTAACAACTGGGTAACTGAAAATAGTACCTTGTTGCGTTGGAATCTGATAAATTAATGAAAATCTCATGAACCTATATAATCAAACAAAGCAGTACTCAAATTGCTGGATTTTTGTTGGATTTCATGTTTTACTTTTGTGGAAGCTGGTATTGGGATTTAAGATGAGTGATACTTGTGACCTGATGACATGTTGGGAACATAGGGGCAAAACAAGACAAAATCTTAGGGGGTGTTTGGATGAAACCAAATCATGGTTTGAAAAATAGCTTCTGAAGAATAGATTCTTGAGAGAATAAATTTTATGAAGAAGTGATTCTGATAAAGTAAGAGTGTTTGAATAGTTGTTATCAAAAGCACTTTTTATATATGCAAATTACTAAAAAAAGCATAAGTTAATATAATAATTATATAAAATATAGATTTTATAATATATTTTAATTTGAAGGAATAAAATTGTTAATATATTTTTTACTAACATAATTAATAATACATAAGATAATGTAATTAATAAATAATTAATGTATATATATATTTATAAGATATAAGATTAAATATGCTTATAAAAAAATAATTGAGGGGTGTTAAAATCATATTATTGTTGAGATCTATTCTAACAGGTACAATCATATTTTTCAATTTGAGCCAGAAGCAAAATGGATTTAGGGGGTGTTTGGATACCTCAATAATCACTTTTCAGAAACACTTTTCCGCAAATCGAGACAAACTCCTCCACATATTTATTTCGTATACCGTAAAAGCACTTCTGAAACCATAGTTTTGATCTTACCCAAACACCCTTTCTAAAACCATGGTTTTGGACTTCAAAACCATGGTTTTGGCCCAAGTCATAGTTTCAGATTATTTCTCCCTGTTTGGCTTACTCTTTCTCCAAACCATGGTTTGGATGATACCCAAGCACCTTCTTAGTGAATGATTCAATTCGGTGTGTGCACAAACTTGATTCCTCATTGGTTCAACCTCTATTCTAATGCTATAAACTACAACAACACCTGAACCCTTTATTTTGGGTTTGCTATTTCTTTTGCCTTACCAGGCGCTCCTATACTTTTAGTGACTCTCAACACTTCTTGGAACTCTGAACTTTCAACCATTTTAAGCGGATCCTCTGGCTGTTAATTTTGTTCTAGCACCCTGTTTTATTTGGTGGCTTAGCCTTATTTTGGGCCTATTGTATCCTTTTAATGCACCCCAACTCTGGCCTGAAGGTTTGGACTGATTAAAGAGCCCATTCTTTCATAATTTTGTATGTTGTTGACATTTTGTTGTTGAAGTATACTGCCAACTGTTATAGGGGAAGAAAAACTTTAGTGACCTGGAGCTAGGTTTTGAAAATCTTGTGGGCCTTATAGAATTGCAAACTTGAGTTCTTATACAGATTAATGGAACAAAATGGCCAAAGTCATCCAATTCCTAGTTCGGAATTAACAAAAATTTTTGGCTTTATTTTTGTCTGAGTATTAATTATTCTTCTCCTATCATTGTTGCAATTTCTTCAAGTTTGGAAAGTCCACGAGTTCATGTCTCATGGGTTTTATGCTTTGACTGACACACATTGGCATGGGTTCGAGCTGGTAGGACCTGTGAAAGTGTGATTTTTCCCACATCCTGGGTAAAGTGCTAGAAAAGGATATGTAAATTGATGCAGCATTTATTTAATTTAAATGCTTGTTGCATAAAGAATTATTCCATTTTAGTTACCAAATTGACTTATGGTGCAGGTTGTAGCTGCAATGTGTTCAAAAGTTCCATTCCTTAGCAATGCCATTAAAAAAGCTACTGGCTGTGGTATGCGGTTAAAATTCTTTTCTTTTCTTCTGTCATAGACTTTATTTATATACTTATTGCCCTCTCTGCCAGGCCTAAATTTCTCTGCTTCAGTTGAACGTAATAATTTCACTGGTTAAGTATTTTGACAGGCCATGCACAAATACAATATTATCCACTTTTGCTTTGGATTTGAAAATACTACACTTTGATCTCGCTTGGAAACATATCTGGGCGGCATTTATTATTTCCAATCTTGACACGCTGTCCTGCTATAGAAAAATTAAATTTATGGGGCTCATTTCCTGGTCAGATGTATATATATTTTGGCATTTTCCTGAAACTTCAAAGTACTTGAGAAATTATTTTTGCATTAAGAAGCTGGCCTGTGAGTCTATGAAGTTGACAAATATCATTCCACTTCAAATTTCATGGATGTTTGGAATTCGGCAGATTCATTCAACTTGTTGGTAAACAATGGGAGAGCTGCCGGGCAAGTTATATTTCATGTGAGATGTTTTACTTAGGAATCACGCATTACAATTTGTATGCAAATTCAGTTCCCGTTAACTTTTCAAAAAATGTTCAACATGGCTAATTCTCTTTCTGAACATGTGAATTTCAGACTCATATCCATATAATTCCTCGCAAAGCATATGATTGCTTGTGGACGTCTGAGGTAATATTCATTCCATCTGACGCACGCACACATACATATTTTGGTATGTAATCATGTCGTGGGATTATAAACCATGGGTAAATCTTATTGTTTTCAGAGTTTGAAGAGGCGTCCCCTGGACCTAGATGGAGAAGCTTCTCAGTTAGTTGCTCGGGTCCAAGAACAGTTGTTGCCATCAGAAGACATCTGTCATGATAGCAAAAATCCAGATTTTTGTCCGAGTAAAGATTAGTTGTATCACTGAGCTGTTGTAACTTGTAACTTCCAATTTGTCTACATATTTGATTTTTTGTACAGTCAATCATATTTTATATATAAAAATAGTTTTGATGAAGGGAATCTTTAAGTTGATTATTATGTGCTACAATTATGCTTGGATTGAAAATTTGTGCTTTCCTCTGAAGATAAATAGATTGTCAAGCCGCTTGGCTTTTAAAGATTTATATCTTGAATTGAAATTTGAGGAAATTGGTTGTATTGTTTGTAATAGTTCTACATTATATAATTGTATAATATATTGATTGATGGTTGATTGTAAAGTTAACATATTGCTCAATATGTATTTTGATTCTGTTATTCCCGTCTGTGCAGCCCAATATGCACGTAACATGAACTAGGATTTCTCTTAGTCTTTCTCTGTTTGTATCAAGCTTCGCTCGCCTTTACCAATTCCCCAAAAAAAAAAAAAATAACAAAATGAACTAGTAAACATCTTGTATCTAGACGTAGATGCTACTTGAGCTAATTATCGAAGGTAGACATCACTTTTTGGAATTAAAAAAGAAAGTATCTTGCAGGATTATGTCAAACAAAGATCTCTATCTTCCAAGGGTCTTGCTTCTTACTCTTTAATTCTAAATGGAATTTATCATTTCCATTTGATTGTAGATGCAAGTCTTCTGCAATTTTTCAGTAGTCATGCTGATATAGTTGTTTCTTGTTCATTTTTTTCATCATATAAAAAATTTAGGAAACAAACTTGCAGTTTCTCCAACTTGCGAATGAAATTTAGGCAGTCACACAACTTAGATAAATTGTTTTAATTTAAATAAGTTTTATGATAATCATACAGAAATGAAATAAAATTTGTTTTTTTTTTCATTTGACCTAAAATTAGTATGTTGTGTGCGTGCGTGCCTGTTTTCACCCTGGTCGTAACTTGTTTTATTTCTACTTACAATGTGGCAATGTGCCTGGATTTTAATCAAAATGTAAATTGCTGTAATGTGAACATGACTATTTTTGCTAAAATTTGAATGTCAAGCTATATAACGGCAATTATGATTTAATGAACTTACACACGTAACATGATGTTTCACCAAGGAAAAAATAGTGTATTTAACTAGTTTCTCAAGTAATCAAGGCACCCTATCAGCTCAAGTACAATTCTCAGCTTACAAAAACAGGAGCTAAGCAAGATGGGGTTTACAACAAAAGCAACAATGAAAGTCCAGTTACAAGTTTAACGCCGAAGTTCCCATGCATGTCTAAACATCTTCAAAGAGCAGAAACAGGGATTTGGATAATTCCTCTTCTGGGGGGGGTTCTAACAAAAGGACATTCAGATTCCTGAACCAATTCGCTGGGCAATGACCATATATCTATCAATGTTACTGCTGCTGCTCATATATCTGCATATAAGCCTCAGAGAGTGCAACCATTTGGGGAAGAGTTTCTGAGACGTGTAGATCCTGCATCTCATACCTAAACAATTTTGATTGAGTCCAAAACTATATTACAAAGCCATTTAGATTGATTTCATTCTGTCAGGGACAAGAACGTACCAAAGTTCTTCTGATTTGCGCTGAACAAATACTCTGTAGGATCCTTCACCGGGTTTGCCATCATGAACAACATTGGCTATTAAATCATATTTAGATCGCAATTTCTCGTTTTCCTTTGGTGTTGACAAGGGAATGTAATCTTTTAACTCCAGGTTCTTCACAGGAAAATTAACTGAAACAAATAATAAGTTAGGATGAACTTAGAAATAAGCATGCCGTATTCAGATTAACATCATTAAAGCCTGCTTTCAATATGAATTCTCACCCAACGTAGGATTCTTTTCCACAAAAAAGTTATTCTTAGTAAATCGACGCATGTGTAGAATGATGTATGGTGGCAATCTGGTGACACGATATCGCATTCTAGCTATATGAGGACGGACTACCTCCGTGATAGTCTCCCCATCAAACTTCTTTAATATGTTGAAGAGTGGAACCTGAAAAGAAAACCTAATTAGCAGACATGAGGATGAAGGGGCATGAAAAGAAACTTAAATACAAAAGCTAACTCATATGAGTCCTCGGGTTCCACAGATCAAGAAAAGTGTATGTTAGATACGTTAAAGTAACAGATTATGCTTGCTTCTTATGTTTTTTCCTTCAGTGCTTTCTCACATAGCATTTCCAGGAAGCAATTCATTCAATTAAATGATTAAATTGTTGTGGATGCTAACAACTAAAATTGCAAGCCACATGCATGGGCAGGTGGAGAAGTTGTAAGATGAGAACTTGAGAATACATCATCAAATATATAATAATGGGGAGCTTTTAGGCAAAGCCATGAATCTCCTGCAACCATGTGGAGGTGCTGAACAAAAAGTGGAAATCCTATTCATAAAAATGAGAATCTGAGCTGAATATGGCTGCATTGTAGTTTAACTAAGGCAGAAGATATGGTGGGTAGTAGACTTTGGAAGATTTGTTTATTGGGCTATTTAAACTAGAAATTACATCATATGCCTGAGGATTCTACATTCTTTTCCCTCTTACATGATTATTTTTATTTTTATTTTCTGGTGAAATACATGATACTTTTTATGAGAGAGATGAAAAGAGCCTATAACATGGTGTATTCCTTTTTGGGGCTGCACTGTTTTATATAGGAACGGGGTGGTGGAACTTCATACCACTGATGAGAATCACTCGTGGGAATTGACCAGGACAAGGTTTCTTGGCTGATTGATAGTTGGTAGCATCCATAAACTCCCCTTATATATCGACCATGGCACTTGGCCCCTTTTCCATGTTGCAAGCTTGCAATAAGGAAACAGAAATGCACTATGGCTAATAGCTTTAACTTTTAGATGTGTCTTGCATTGATCCTAACAAGATCCTCTAGTGCCAATGGATTTTATAGCATAGGCAACTTGGAACAGGTTAGCTATAGGGAGTTTATCGGGAGATCTTATATTACTTCTAAAGCAATGAAGAACAGGATTTTAAAAGCAGGTAGCTTAACAGTTTATCATACCGTTTGGTTGCTAGAGTCAAGGCTTTAAGAATCAGAATGATGTCGCATTTTAGCAAAATGAGTTGGTTGCATATTTATCTTGGCACTATCATTTCCATGGAAAACCCAATACTACAAATATGGGAATCAACACAGCCATGGCAAACCTTATGAATCATGACTAGCAACCTAATAATTTTCATTTGAACTCAATTACGCCCCCTCCCCCAAACTTTTGGAAACTGTTAACCTATCTCCCCTCCCCATCTTAGTCACTTTATCTTTGTTTGTATTTATTTTCTATTCCATTCTCATCCATTGCAACAACCAAACGGCCTCTAAGAGGTCATCACAACGCCTAGTATGCTTGTATATTTTCTTTTCATACAACTCATGCACGATGGTCTTTTCTTCTGACAGAAAATGGAATTTGGTTGAGTTGAGGACCGAAAATCTGGGGCAAGAGTGCAGCCAGATTGTTCAGAATGCTACTCTATGCCTCCCATATATATTTAACTGATATCTTTTCAATCAAAAAGCAAGGATTCAACAGAATTTTATTTATTTAACTGACATTTTTTATCCCATTTTTTCATTTCCTTTAAGTAAAGGATCTTGACGAATGGTTCCCATAAAGCTAAACAAATAAATACTGTATATCCCAAAGTATTTTCATCGGAAAATGAAGGAAAAATTCAAGACATTATCATGAATAGAAAGAAATAAAATGAGAGAAGCATTATTTTTCTCCGCTCATTATCAAACAAACATTGTTAAAAAAGTTCTTAATGACAGACAATAAGTACTTCGGTGGGTGCTATATCAAAGCAAAGCATTTAATATATAATCCATGCTGATGTATATTATCAACTAAAGCAATAAACAAGCCAAATGGTCATGCTTGGGGCCAATAAACCACAACACTCCTCTTTTTTTCCCCAACCCATCAAGCAAGACAAAAAATATCAGATCCTCTTGTATGTGTGACTTCTAGTCAGTTCCTGTACCCATTTTATTACACAGAATAGACAATAACCGAGGGGGGAAAAACTTTGTCTTGGTTGTCAGAGCAGACCACGCAGTGTGATACAAGCATATCAATCATGTTTCACAATATTCAGAGGAAATGACACAGAACTACATCACAGAGATGTTACCTGAGGTATTATATTTTTCTCCATCACATCCTTGAATAGAGGTGGCGGCGGCAAGTCCAATCCTAACATTAAAAATGGCATCTTGGAAGTTTCTGTGACAAAAGCATCCCGCTCAGTGCCACCATCTGAAAGTTTGTCATTGTGGTTTCGTTCCTCATTGTTTTCTTTCTTCTCAGTGATTTGTTTGTTAGGAATTTCTTTCGCAACCTCCAATTCACCCTGCAAGCACAAGTTAGTTGCAGGCTTGCAGCTAGGAAACATATGTTGGTAAAAAATAAGAAAAGCAAATGGATCAGAGAAGAACCTGAAAACACTTGTGTATTATGCTACTATTCTTCTTTGAGGTTCTAAGATCTGCATGCAGTGTATTAAGAAGCCAGGACATAAACTCAACTGGGTCAGATTGTGCACCTATCCGAAATCTTTTCTTACTGGCTTTCATCACTGCCTGCAAAAACTCATGTGGGCTAACCTGCAGACACAAGCATTTAAAAGTTAAATGCTAAGATATCAGAATGAGTTTTACGATGTCTATAACAAAAACAAACCTGTCCTTTAAAGTTTCGCGCATGCCAGATCTTCCTGGTGAGTTCACCAAATCGATGAACAAGTTGAGATTTGCTATGCTGATAGTTTTCTGGGATAAGGAAAAAATTTCTCAAAGGAGTAACTCTCATCAAGGATTGAATTGTCACATTCACAAAATCAGTCTCCTTGATGTTATTAAGTCCCACCTAAAAAATTTAATCAATGCCAAAAAATAAGCAAATAGCACTTAATGACCAGCCAGAAATGAGCGAAATTCCAGTTATTTTAGAATCAAGATGAAAAAATACCATTCCAGGAAGGTAATCAGAGCCATCAAGTGCTCTAGACCATTGCTTATTTTTGTCAAGTTGTTCAACTTGTTCTCTAGTAAACCTACAGGCAGAGATCAATAGAAAAGAACTCAGACATGCCCAGCTATGTTTAAAAATTTAAAAGGAAAAAAAAAACTCTTTTCTTTAGAAAAATGCAGTAATGATAGGAAGCTAGCAGGTAATTTAACCAATGACTGTTAAACTAAGTTAAAGGCAATGCTTCAAATGTTTTCAATTAATGATGTATGGGGGAATAAATAATCATCAAGGCAATAGTGAACAAAATGGGCATCAAGCATGCTGCCAGAATTGAAAGGTTTACATGCATGACAAAGAAAATTTACAAACGGGGAGACCACAAGGTCAACATTGCGACAGAAACCAATGTGCTAATATTATTAATGTTTAAAACAGACAGTCCAGCACATTGGCTAAAAATGACACTGCAGAACGTTGACCAAAAACAAGGGCGGTCAAAAAAATACAATAATGGAAGGAAAAAAAAAAAAAGTATTCCCCATGCAATTTTTTTTGGGTTTAATTTTGGAAAGCCCATTAATTCAGTTTTGAGCTTATAAAAAGGATAAAATTCCTGAATCCTCCAACAGCTGATGATTCATATAGGAAATAGAAAATTTATAATATGTAGCCACTAGCCTTTATAATATGTAGCTACTAGCCATTAACTGATGATTTAAGAGCTACTAGCTATTAACTGATGATTTAAGAGCTACTAGCCATTAACTGATGATTTAAGAGCTACTAGCCATTAACTGATGATTTAAGACATAAGTTTCAGGGGGAAAAGAAATTGTCTGCAGCAAAATAAACAAATTAGACCAACCTTGGGTTTAGAACATGCCGAATGTCATCTAATGATGGATCATTAATTTCATATCCATCAGGAAGACAATAAACTTTCTCAGTTCGAAGATTGATATAAACGTGGTGTCCTGCTTCGAGGCTATGAGTATAAGCGTGAGACTTCTTCCCCCTTCCTTGATAATATTTCCCACAAACTAAACATGCATACACATTTAAGTTTGAAAGAGACACAGAACAGAACTTCTCAAAGTCAAAATCCAAAACCTGCAGAGTATCACCAAAAGTGAATAATAAATTTAAAAGAAGGAAAGGGAACTAGAAACTCCATGTTACAAGTAATGAAGTCAGTCACAGCCATCTTCCAACCATACTAAAGAACTAAAAACAAATATTTAAGCCCATATGTGGTACAATGCAAAAATACAAACCAGCAAAGTTCATTGTCCAACATTCAGCAGATGAGTTACATACCTGTCTATTAACAGTATCAAGATAAGGGCAGTCCCTCCGAACTTCAACCTGGCGGCTGTGCCTGCCCACACTCAATTGTTCCTGTGAATCCTCCTCATCCTCCTCCTCAACCTCTTCATCATATCCATGCCCATTTCGATGGGAGTCACCATTTACCTTCTCACCAACAGCAGTCCTCGATTCCCTTCTCCCATAAACTTCCTCTTCGTCTACATCAGCATAATTGTTGGCCAATCCAGAGAGAGGATTTGCAATGGAAACAGGAGGAGGAGAGGGAGAAGACTCCTCAACCAATCTTTGCCTTTTAGAATCCGACGCAAACTTAAGCTCCTCTTCCTCCTTCGAGCCACTATTAATTTCCCTTTCCCGTTTTGATGCCATTCTCACTGACTTCAACTCCTTCAGGCACAAAACTATTCAAACCTATACCCGGAGAAAGAGAGATTCTCTGAGCAGAATGATTAAAAACCATAAACAGTAATAGCAGAATCCCGGAATAGTTGGCCACTGAACAGCACTTTTTTTCTTGAGAATGTTATAGGAACACAAAAGGAGATAATGAAAGAGGGAATCGAAAAGAGAAAGAGTACCTGCGTGGGTGGTGATAGTACGGAGACTCCGCTCTTTCCGACCCCACGTGAAAGAAGTGAATTTGTGATCGGAGTGAATTGGAAGAAAAAGAAAGACGAGGAAGCGCAGGGAAGGATCGAACAGGAACTTACCCTGTAGCACTCACTACATTCCGCAAGAAGGGAACATTTTCGTTTTTGTTTCCCCACTCCAACCATACTCTTATTCCTTTTTAATTTAGGAGTTATTTTGTGAAAAACTGAAAATATTCTCCTTTTTTTTTTATCCTGTGAAAATATTAAATTATAATTTATTTTATCTCTTATATTTGTTAAACTAATGGCATAAGATGTGATGTGTCTTTTGTGATCAAAATAATACTACCTCTAGTATTTAATATAGGATCTCGTTTGATTTTTATTTTGGTCATGAATATAAGATTCTAATTCACTTTGTCTCTAATATTTATGTATTTTTTTCTAAGATAGTCTTTCTAACAATAATAGTTCTAGCCAATATACTTGATTAGCAAGAATATTTTAAGAAAGACAACACCTATTTATGACAAATAACTAACTTAACTTCTTTCCTTAATCTCCTCAAATTAGTCAACTAGCTCTTATAATTAGGACCGGAGGTAGTAATAATAATAAAAGGTTTTTTTTTTTTGGTAATCTAGGGCACGATTAGGGCCTTTGGGCCCCCCGCGATTCCCCCGGTATCCGGTGCTTTTTCTGAGCCCTGACCTTCCACTGGATCAGGTAAACCCAGGCAACTGACTAATCCGGAGCCGAGGTTTGGTTGGAGCGCATCCTATAGCACTTTGTGCCAAGATGGGTACCCTCCTCTACCGACAAGTGCGCTCTCAAGGATCGAACACAAGTTCTCACCTTGAGGTCGTCAGCCGCTAACCACTGCAACCAACACTTGTTGGTTAACGGAGTTGAGTTTAATGGAAGGGATTAGCCCCTTAAGACATAATGAATCTCGAATCCGTATTGAGAGAAATGCCAACATTTATTACCTTACACTTGACAATATATGATTGTCTTAAAAAAAATCCAAATATTCTCATACATTGTCATTTATGTAATGATATTTGGACATCATCAATGAAAGACATATATTCAAAGTGAAAAATTGAAATTAAAGAAATTAATGTAAAAAAATCATATGTTTAGAGTTAATTGGAAAAAAAATTTAAAATATCATTTATACTTCTTAACCTTGCGCCATTGGTTTATTTTAATTTAAAAAATGTATGTTTAAAGTTAATTGAAAATAATTATATGCAGTTTGAAATAACACTTTGAGCAAGGAATGACAAATATGGATATGGAATAACAGAAGTCATTTGGACACATTAATATGTTGCTCCAAGTTTTATTTTGTCCATAAAAGCTAGCTTGATATACGTATTTTTGTTTTGCTAACGCCCCCCAAACTCTCATAACTATGGTCTTCGCGATAGGACCAATTGTAGGAAAAAAATACCCCCCCCCCTCTAGAAAGATGAACGTATGAAGATTAATTTTAGTCTACAGAACTGCAGAAGATCAAAGAATTCTAATACCACAGGGATGGACAATATAAACCCCTTTAGAGATGTCTAATAAAATTGAAACGATACAGCAAAAATTAGCATAATTGGTGCATAAGAATAGTATTACGGTTCTTAATGTAAGATTTAGAAGGTATTTGAATAGAAACAAAATCATAATTTTAAAAATATTTTTACAGTTTACAGTATACGAAGTAAATATGTGAAGAAATTTGTCTCTATTTACAAAAAAGTGCTAGGGTTACCCAAACACCCCCTAGTTTGTTACAAACTAGGTCTTATATTTATAACTGATAGTACATACAAATCAAGAAATATGAACAATATAAACATCCGTAACATCAATATCCCACAAGAGCTGCAGCGTCATATAACATTTGCCCTAAATTATTTCCTTCTTGCATATTGCCAATCAATGAACATGGAAGGAAACATTATGGATACAAGAGATGAATTCACAATCACATTTTGTACATTCTCTCTCAATTTATAATTTTATAACCATAAAAGACATAAATTGCAAGCTCTTGGTAACCATCTCAATGTCCAGGATTCCATCTGTCATTTTCAATGACTAGAGCTATCTTTTGGCATCAAGACCATAAACATAACGGTCTGATCAAAGGAGTTTTACTATCAAATCAGTGGAAATCACATGCATCATATTATATCAATGTTGTTTGAAGTCACAGGACAGGTATGAATACTACAGAAACATCCTTGTTTGTAGTCAAGGGAGCTTCACCATATTATACATGAAATCTTGCACAACACAGAAAATCCATAGCTTCTGGGGGTAATTGGAATAGTAGTTATTCAAATTTCTTGATGAGCGACAGGTCATTCAACATTTTCTCAATTGCATCATCATCATGAGACCGTCCTCTTGTCTGCAGGTAAAAAGAATGAAGCATTAAGCAACAAGCATAGATCTACTAGATGAACTTCTAGTAGATTCATGGTTTTGAAACAGGCAAGACTACTTCAATTAACCAGCAACTCCATGAACTAGATGTGAGCTTCGTTTAGTGAGCAGTATGAGGAATGAGCCGTGTGGCTTACTATATAGGATTTTATGATCTTTAAAAGTGAGAAAAACTAAGGATCCACTGATCCAGATCCGCCATTATTGAAAGCAGAATTTGTGGATAAATCTGCTACTGAGTAATTCCAGACAGAGCATAATTCATTTTGCACAATCAAATGATAGACTGTAAGTGTTATTTACTTAATCTATTTCAGATAGAAACAGCTTAACATCAGGTTGATTATGGAAAAAATATATAACTAAGGTTCATGCGGCCAACTGTAAAGGATTCAAGAATCATATTACTAAAGCAAGAACAGCTCTGAGGAAAAGTAGAAGCAGAAAGAGGGTGGGGAAGCAAATGATAATTACCTTAATGGAGGGCACCATCGCAATAGCTTCCTCAACTGTTTCAGGGCAAAGATTTCCAAGGACACACAGCTGCACGGAAGCATCAAAATATTTAAAATTTCTTTTATTTTAATATGAAAATTTTGTTTCTGAACGGAGTTTATGAAGGTAAAGGATTAGTTACCTCAAACTCAGCCAATTGGTATCTACTTAGAATTCTGTATGTCAGTTAAGATCGCAACTGAGATGAAAGTTTATAATATATCAAGTTTCATGATTTTCACTATTTACTTTTAATGAACAAATGACTTGAATAGATTTCAAATTCTCTAATTGATGCATACCAGAATGCCATATCATTGAATTCAAGGTAACAATACTGGACTTCTTCTTGGAGTTTATTGGGGATGACAGATGAAAATATTATTTGAAGACAAAAACTCCAGATTCAAGCAAGAAAACAGAATAGTCAAACAGGATACGATTGAAAATAAATTAGTATAGTGAAACAGACAACAAAATAGACCCTAGAATAATTTGATCAAAGGTGGAAGTATCACACAGAACTGAACTGTAAGTAAGATTCAACATGGTTTTCAAGGATACTCTCGTACTTGTCTGACAGCATCGGGATTTTTATAGCGGCTGAAGCGCTTCACATACTGCAATGATTTCTCAAAGACCCTGAGAAAGAGGGGGAGGAAAAAAAAGTTAAACCATATAACGTTCCTAAAAGTTTTCCGGCCAGAAATTGTCACTCTCTCTTGGTGTCAATTGTTAATATTGGCAATTGGCATGCTGCAGATACAAAAATCAGAAGACATAATATGTAGCATTAACATAATTAAAATTCAGAGAGGACTTTGCATGCCCTTTTCCAGTGGATCATTTAGTTCAATCAGTGGATGAGAAAAGATTTTCAGGGAATTGGATGCAGACCAAACAATATACGGCCTTTCAATGAGATCTAAAATGAATAGCTCTCTTAAGCTTATGCCTGAGCTTTAAGTCGATGTACGTATACTCACTGAGAAACTTGATTCATAGGATCTTCAGAAGTCTGCTGAAGCTGCTCATACTTGTGCTCCAGAATTAATGCAACTTCACAGTTCATCAAGCACTTTGCTTTCAAAAACTCTGATAAATATGAAATGTGACGCAATTTAAAGACATGCCGCAGTAAAACAACCTCATTCAATTCAAGAAAGATATATCTGAATTATACATCATATCATAAATCTTTTAAAAAACAAATAAGAATTTCAGCACCTCTTTAACTTCCATGCGAGGCGAAACGAACTACCAAATAAAACAATAATGAAATATTTGATTGCATGCCTAATTTCGGAAAAATCAAACAACAGTAAATCAAGCAATCAAATGGCCATTAGTTTCTATATTTTAAAATTTTATGCTAATGTTAAGATAAATTTTGATGGGGTGCAGAACAACTCTGGACTGATATAAAAATTTACGAGTATACACTACTCTAAAAACTATAAAAAATTGGGCTGAACTTTTCAGGTCATGTTGTACAGATGGGACTTGGTCTTAAAAGTTGATAATTTCACATGAGTAGTGCGCCTTGGGAGCATGGCTTTCACAAGCAAAAGGGTGCAAAAGGCTTCCTCCTTGTTGAAGGCAGCACCTTTCATGCTGTGAGGGGGTCTGGACCTATTTGGCACCTTGCTTCAGCATGGTCGGCACCAAGCCCAGCATCTTTGACTACATTGTCCCACTCTAGCCCATTATATTACATAATTTTCCATTTTTTTTGGGTCACATATCTAGTTTCCACCGTTTTGCTTCTTTCCTTCCGTAGGTGGCATGTCAACCAGATGCATTAGAAACAAACCTTGCTTTGCCCAGCATTTTGAGCATGCTTTTAACAACACTAAATTTGAATAGATAGGATAGAGGCCATTTGTTATAAAACCAAGCATCAGAGTTATGCAAGTCCAATTTCAGGATCAAACACACCATGATCAAAGACATGTAAATTCAATGTCATTATCCAAATAAGCCATGCCAGGATAGACAGATTTAATCCCTTCGAGATCAATATAGTGAGATAGAATATAAAAATTACATGGGGTTAATCCTTTTTTTTTTTTAATCAGACTAAAGACAGAAAAAGTCTTCAATGATTGCTATGATTGCACAATCAGTAAATTTCCAAGGAACTGAA